CGGTCATCTTTACAGAAGCAGACTGCCACAGCATTCTAGAGAGTGGCTACTGTTCCCGTTGAGTGCCATCGAGTTGGTTCCGACTCATAGCGACCCTATAACAGGTTTCCAAGGAGTGGCTGGAGGGTTTGAACTGCTGACCTTGTGACTCAAACTGACCTTGTGGTCCAGCACATCATCCTGTAGTCCCACACCAGGACTCCTCCACAGAGTGGGCTAGTGAGCTCAAACTGCTGACCTTCTGGTTAACAGCCAAGAGCTTAACCACTGCACCACCAGCACTCATTCTTTCAGAGAAGAGGCCAAGATATATTTTTGTGAAATGATAAATTAGATTTAGAAAAATGAAAGGTATACTTTGTAGTGATGGTCATATCTAAATATCCTGCTTTCTTCGTATTGACGTTTTCAAGACAGTGTCTATTTACTATTCATAAGACTGTGATGTGCTACATCCCAACAAAAATCACGACTGGTTAAATGTAAAAGATGGAACCCTAAAGTAAAAGGAAAAATATATATAAGGTTGAATACTCAATTGCTCTTTAATGAGGAAATATTTTCTAAATGGAGGAGATAAAAAATAAATCACAGAGTAAAAAACTGACCACATAAAATTGTAAAATGTAATGCAAATAATATAACATAATTAAAAGGCAATCCATAAATCAGGTAAAATATTTGCAAAAAAAAAGATGGCACAGTTAAATATGCCTGATGCATGAAAGAGCTCTTGTAAAGCAATAGGGAAAATCCAAAATAAAAAAGTAGGAAAAGGATCAAAGATATTTCACAGAAAAGGAAATACATCAATAGGTATGTGAAAAAGTGTTCAACCACACTAGGACTAGAAATGAAGCAAATGATAACAAACAGAGATAGCAATGCCTGCTTTTCAAGTACCTTGATAAAAACAGTGGGAAAGAACATGATGAAATTGGTATCATTTTATAGGAAGCATTCTGACAAAGTTTGACCTAATAATACTTCTAGTCATCTACACGAAATGAAAAAAAAACACACAGATATATGGGGAATTTATTTATAGAAAATTCATCAGAGTGTTACCTGTCACAACAAAATGATGTAAGGATTGGAATGGTGAAGGTATAAAACAAAAGACAAATTAGCCATGGATATTGTTTTTTGAAGACTTTTTAGTAACATGGGGAAGTTCTTGTGGCATGATGCTAAATGAAAAAGAAAGATATAGAACGTTGTTATTTATATTATGGCATTACACAGCAAAAAGACTGGAGGGGATATACCTATGAACAGTGATGGGATTGCAAGGTGATACAACAGCATCTTCTCTGCTTATCAATATCTTCAAATATGCTACAATAAGCATATCATACATTAGATAGTAAAAAGTTACTTTGAACTGTTTTTGTGTAATACCCTAGGCAGCTGCTTAAGAACAATAATAACCAAATGAATATTATTCAAAAGGAAAGATCATAACTTAATGATCTCTATTTTGTGGTTAAATATCATAGAAACTATTAATCTGAAATAGTCCAATGAACTATAGTTGTGTGGCGCTGTAGGATAAGCACTGGACCTCAAGGTCGGCTGGAATTCTAAAGGTCGGCCATTCAAGCTCACCAGCTGCTCTTCAGAAACCCTATACAGGAACTGACTTGATGATGGCACTTCACAACAATAAACAACACAGCTGCTTTTCAAAATAGTAAAGTTTCTAAGGAGTCCTTGGGTGGCACACATGGTTAAGCACTTGACTACTAGCCGAAAGACTGGTGGCTTGAAACCACCCAAAAACATTTCAGAAGGCTGGCCTTGTGATCTGCTTTGGAATGGTCACAGCCTTGAAAACCCTATGGATCCGTTTGGCAATTAACAACATAAGTTTCACAAATACTCTAATGGACCATCTACTGAAAATAAAACTCAAAGGTCAGTGAATACCAAAGGATATTCAGGTGGTACCTCTACAAGAAGGCTCTATCATGAAGTGGAATGGACTCCATGACTCTCTTCCCATAAGGATAATCATCTCCAAATTACTGCCATAGAAAGCTTGCAAGTCTGTCTTCTGCCTATAACTGAAAATATCACCATAGAAAGTTTGCAAGTCCATCTTCTGCCTATAACTGATTGAAATACCTAAAGTGGGGCTATAGCGTGCCCAGTGAAGGAGGCTTTCTACAGAGCCTTTGCATTCATAAGACCATAGATGGAATCCTGAACCCCATCCAGAATCTTCTGAGGTGGAAAATCTCCCCTTGAAAAGACAAGAAGACCAGCCTGCAGCGGCTAGAAGAACAGAAGATACTTCTTGAAAGAAAGACAGGAAAAATACAAAAGAATAATAGCAGTCTGACTGACTACCAGGAGAACAAGCAAATTGTTTGCCCAAGAGACATCAAGTCATGTGCTCAGGTCCCCTCTGGGCAAATCCTCTTCTAAGACTAAAACTCAAGGGGAATACACAAGCAGGCATACAGTCTGACAGGTGACCACACTGGTCACCGATAAGGGGAAGTGAGGAAAAAACAGCAATGAAGCTATGAGCTAAGTCCAACCACATTCAATAGACTCCTGTGAACATGGGTGGAGACCTGGTTGGCCAGCAATACGGCAGGACCTGGGGACTCCTGGGCCCAGAAACAGTGACATAGCCACAGAGGACTAGAGTGGAGAGTGAAGTGTCCAGCTGATATGAAGAGAGGGCATATGCATAAGTACACCCACACTTACAGATAATACCCACTTGACCTGGCTTCAATGAATGGATGATCAGAACTCAACTAGAAGAGGAAAAAAAGAGTAACCTGATACAATTTGATGAACTTGACCTACACCTATGGATGCCGTAGCTCAAAAGAGGGAACAAATCTTTGCAGCGAGGGTCATTCCCAACCCCTCAGTACACAGGGTAGACAGGGATGGGCAACTTGGACACTGGCTACCCAAAATGGGAGGGCTAAAAGCCAAGAAGTGACTGGCTTACAAGCTTTCAAGAGGGAGCCTAAATCCAGAGGGCGTGAAGGAAGGTAGACTCTCCAACTGAGTAGTATGTAATCTGTCTGGGCGGGGCTGATGAAAGGAGATGGGGATAGGATTCTAGTGATACAACACTGAATAATTGCTATCAGGACTGACTGTGAGGATTGGAAATGTAAAGGTAGACATTTTGTAGCCAAAGGAGGGGAGTGATTGACTTTGCAGTCCAGGAGCCGAGGTCCCTGGGACCATCAAGAGAGAAGAGTGGAGTGCAGGACCCTACCCAGGGAAACAGCGACTCCAGAGATGGAGGCACAGACGATGACATGGAGATATGGAGTGGCTGGGGACTCTAGACCCAGAAAGGGAGAGGGACTGTGTGCTGATGACCAAGGTGCAGGCTTGCGGGGTATACTGTTTGGTTGGTTGATGATGCATGGAGGGGATTGTAATCATGGCAATGAAACTATATATGATAGGATGAATGTAAAGCTAATGTTCTCCCATGTAAACTATCACATAATTCACAATAAAAACGTAAAAGAAAAAAAATAGCTGATTTTAAATCCAAGCACACTTAAACTCTTTGCACAATATAGTAGACACTAACATATTCAGAGAAGAGATAAAAGAAGAACATTATGAACAAAATGTAAAACGCACACTTATTTCTTTAGATTTTCATAAACAGGAATCACTAGGTTACCCCAGGATTTGTTCTATTACTACTAATAAGAGCTAATATTTATTGAGTTTTTATTATGTGTCAGGTGCATAGGAAAGCAATCCTAAAGACAATCCTATGAAGTAGAATTGCTGTTATTAAGTGCCATTAAGTCAGTTCCGACTCATAACGACCCTGTCTAGGGTTTCCCAGGAGCAGTTAGTGGGTTTCAACTGCCAACCTTATGATTCACAATCTAGTGCTGATCTTCCAGCAGGATCAGGAGTGTCACACAGGAGTCCATGAAACAGGATTAGCCACACTCTCTGTTAGTTGGTTTTCAGTGACTAAATATTCGGAAGTAGTTCATCACTCCTTCTTCCTAGTCTGTCTTTGTCTGGAAGCTCATCTGAAACCTGTCCACCCTGGGTGACCCTGCTAGTATTTAAAATACCGATAGCATAGCTTTCAGAATCACAGCAACTCACAAGCCACCACAGTATGACAAAGTGACAAACTTCGTCTCTCATACTTCAGACATATTGTCAGGAGGGACCAGTCGCTGGAAAAGGATATCATGTTTGGTAAGGGGGAGGGTCAGAGAAAAAGAGGAAGACCCCCAATGAGATGGATTGGCCAAGTGGCAGCATTCATGGACTCAAGCGTGGCAACAATTGTGAGGTTGGCCCAGGATTGGGTAGTGTTTCAGTCTGCTGTGCATAGGGTCGCTATGAGTCAGTACCAACTCAATGGCACCTAACAACAACAACATATTAGTTGGAGGAGTCCTGGTGTGGCACTGTGGGTTAATGCACTGGACTGCAAGGTCAGTTCAAACAGCAAGATCGGTGGTTCAAGCTTACTAATCGCTCCATGGAAACCCTATACAGGGTTGCTATGAGTCAGAACGGACTCGACAGCACTTAATAAACAACAACAACATTAGTTGGAACCGACTGGATCACACTTAACAGCAGCAGCATCTGTGAGGAAGCCCCCAGATATTAAATAATGTAACTTGCCTAAGGTCACATCATTAGCAAATGGTGAGCTCAGATTTGAAACAAGGCAGTTAGTTTCTGAACCTACACCATTTGCTTTATGCCTCGGAGCCTAGGAAGCTAGTAGGGTTATATTATGACTTTCTCTTTTGTTTCCTCCCTAACATGGGAATCTCAATATAGAAAGATGATTCTTTTGGAAGCAGAGAGGCTACTCTAGTTCTTGTATTATCTCCTTTAAAGGATGATGTAACAACAAATTAATACACATTGTCTTTCATTTTTCCTGAATGATTATATATATATTTATACACTTTTTTTTTTTTTTTTTTTTTAAGGGTTGCAGCTAGAAGACCATACAATTAGGAATGGAGCCCTTATATGAGGAGTATCTAGCAAATTGTGGAACAATAGTAAAACCTTACTACTGGCTTAGCTTCTCTTTAGATTGTTCCAACTGTCCTTACCATATTCGGACAGGTGAAGAAGCAAGAGTCTCTTACAGAGAATTTCAGCAGACCTTTGGATTCCCTTATGGGCCAGTGTATTCTGAAACAAAACAGCTCGTATTTTATGAACTGAAAACTTCTTCTGGCAGCCTGGTACAAAAGGGGCATGCTAGCACTTGCGCTGGGAACCATATTCATCCCGAATCAATGCTGTTTGAGACACAAGGTTATCTTGACTCAGCCTTATACAATAACGACCGCATCAGGCATATCATTCTATATTCCAACCACTCTCCTTGTAATGAAGCTAGCCACTGCTGCATCAGCAAAATGTACAATTTCCTGATGACGTATCCAGATATCACTCTTAGTGTTTACTTTTCTCATTTCTATCACACTGGGGCTGACTTTCCCGCCTCAGCCTGGAACCGAGAAGCTCTCCGGAGCCTGGCCAGCTTATGGCCACAGGTCACTTTGAGTCCAATAAGTGGTGGGATGTGGCATTTTCTCCTCAACAACTTTGTGAGTGGTGTCTCCGGAGCGGCTGTTTTCCAGCCCATTTTACCTGGCAGAGCACTGGCTGACAGACACAATGCATATGAAATCAATGCCATAGCAGGAGTGAGGCCTTATTTCACTGAAGTTCTTCCCCAAACAAAAGGGAATCAGAGCATAAATGCTCAATCTGTTTTAGAGAGCTATCCCTTAAACAACGTCTTCCCCAGACTATCTTTTCAAGTACCAAGTGGACAGCTACAACCCTACCTGACCCCAGGCCCCAGGATTCCTGTTGTTTTTGTGCTGGTACCTTTCAGAGAACTACCACCAATGCATGTAGATCAAAATCCACAAAAGCCCAGGAATGTTGTAAGGCACTTAAATATGCCTAAAATGTCATTCCAAGAAGCCCAGGACCTTGGAAGACTTCCCATTGGAAGACCAGTGGAAACAGAACAATTTACAAGTAGCAAAGAGGCAAATGAAAAGAGGAAAGGGAAGAAATAAAACTTAATCCACAGCCTGAGACCAAACAATCATGAGAGAAAAAAAATCACAGCCAACAAAAGTCTAGAAACTTTCTTCCTTAGGTCTGATCCAAGATGGAGATAAATTAAGGCACTAAAAACAAAACCTAAATTACTTCGTAGATCAACTATTACTGAGTGATGATACTATTTTTAACATAATCTAAAATGTTTCCAAGCACAGTTTGATCCCTCTCTTCTACTTTCAGCATGACAGAATCAAAATGGAGTCATTAGTACTTTGCTAATGTTTTGATGCAGAAAAGTAATGTCATTATTCTAGTCTAACCACATCATCTTCCCACTAAAAAAGCCCATGGACTAAATAGCTTTTCAAATTGGTTTCAGCATAAAAATGTACTGTAAAATTGGAAAACTGCCTGAAGTTACTGACATTGAGTGTTGTTTGCAAGATTTTCCACTCATGTTTATTTGTGGACAAAACATTTTAAGCACCCCATTTTTTCTAAAGTGATTCAACATAGTTTTCTATGGGGAAAAACTCTTCTGTTCATTGATACTGTATAGCTACAAAATTGATTCTGAAACCCAGCCACGCACCCAAGTCTGATCTCGCCCAGTTGAAGCCTCTTCCTCCTCAGCAAAGACAGACACAGAACAAGACAGGAGACTCTCAAGGGCCTCTCAATCACATACCCATTAAGACCTACGTCATTCTGACTGGTTTTCAGGCTACTCCTTTACTGTCTTGTTGCCTTGTCTCATAAGAAAGACAGGAAGCTCCTATAAGACAAACACTGTCTCTTTCCCGCTTTGATTTCTTTTTCCCCCTTAGGAAATTTAGGGAGAGTAGTCAAGTGCTTGCTTTACCACTCAGCAGTGGGCATCTATTACTTTTCTGAGCATTGATTCCACCTTCTTCTGACACAGATTCCCAGTGTATAACATCTAAGTTTTACTTGTCATTTTTCTGATCCCTCCTTCCTCTTTGCCAGTTCTTATCTGTACCTTCTCTTAAATCTAGTTCCAAGAAGAATTGTCCTAAGAAGTGCTCCCTGACTAACCACTAAATACTTAAGTGAATGTACTTTCTTTGCTATGTTAATTCACATTTGCTGTCTTAATTCCCTCTTGGAAATATGTAAAGATGCATTACAAGAATCAGACATTGATGTATAACTGGCTATTTAAAAAATGTTATGTAAAAAAACAGAAAAAGAATAATGCTAAGCTAGTAAAATAGTTTTGCCATTAGAAGAAAAAGCTTAAAACATATAACACTTCATACTCAAAAACAGAGGAAAGAGAGGGAAACAATTCTTTTAGGAATGTAACTTGCTATTGTGATTAAAATAAACATGAATAAAAATATTACAAGAGATTTCTGTTGTTAGCCTATACATTTTTGTAGACTTATTCAAATACAATCATACTGTGAAGCCCTGGTATGGCACAATAGGATAAGCACTGTACTGTTAACCACAAGGTCAGCAGTTCAAACCCACCAACCATTCTAAGAAACCATACTCAGGGTCACTATGATTCAGAACCACCTCAACAGCACACAACAGCAAAAACAAAAGTTATATTGTAGCATATTTATTGTTGTTAGGTGCTGTTGATTTCAACTTATAGAGATCTTTTGTACAACAGAATGAAACATTGCCTAGTCCTGTGTCAGCCTCCCAAGAATTCCTATATTTGAGCCCATTGTTGCAGCCATTTTTTTCTCTCTCTCATCTTTTATTTTACCAAGCATGATATCCTTCTTCAGAGACTGGTCCCTCTTGAGAATATGTCGAAAATAAATGAGATAAAATCTTAAACCATCTTGGCTTCTAATGAACATTCTGGCTGTATTTTTTCCAACACAGAGTTGTTCTTTCTTCTGGCCATCCATTATTCAAATGCAGCCATTTTTCTCATGTCTTCCTTACTCATCTAATTTTTACCTGCATATGAAATGAATGAAAATGGTTTGGGTCAAAGTAACTTCTTTGCTCTTTTAATAATTTAAAGAGTTCTTTTGTAGAAGATTTGTCCAATGAAATTGTCCTTTAATTTCTTGACTGCTGATATCATGGATGTTGATTTTGGATCCAAGTAAAATGAAAGCCTTGACAATTTCATCTTTTCTCCATCTAACTCAATGTTGTTTATTGGTCCAGTTGTAAAGATTTTTGTTTTCTTTACATTTAGGTGGAATCCATAATGAAAGTTATAGTTTTTGATCTCCATCAGTAAGTGCTTCAAGTCCTCTTTGTTTTCAACAAGCAAATTGTGTCATTTGTATATCATAGGTTGTTAATAAGTCTTCCTCCCATCCTGATGCCACATTCTTCTTCATATAGTCCAGCTTCCCAAATTATTTGCTTAGAATATATATTGAATAAAAGTGCGGAAAGAATACAACCCCAAGGCACACCTTTCTTGATTTTAAACCTCTCAACAACCCCTTTGTTCAAATGACTCGGTAGCCTCTTGGTCTACACACAATTAAGTGTTGTGGAATTTCTATTAATTAATGTTATCCATAGTCTGTTATGATTCACACAATTGAATGTCTCTGCAAAGTCAATAAAGCACAGTCAAACAAACATCTTTCTGATAGTCTCTGCTTCTATCCAAGATCCATCTGACATCAGCAATAATACACCATGCCCTATTCCAAATCTGGCTTGAATTTCTGATCGTTCCTTGTCAATATACTGTTGCAATAATTTTCAAAATTATCTTCAGCAAAATTTTACTCCCATATGTGCAAAATAATTTCTTTTAGAAGGATGAGCACAAGGCTGGTCCCTATGAGGTGGAGGTTGCAGGTATGCTAACATGTTGTTGTTGTTAAATGTCGTTGAATAGGTCCCAACTCATAGTGGACCCCTCCTGTATAGTGTTTCAAGAAGCAGCTGGTGAGTTTAAACTGCTGACCTTGCTATACCATTCCATAGTCCCTGATATCAACCACTAGTCCTCCCCTCAGTATTCTCCCCTATGTCCCAGGCTTCCACAATTCTCTGTAACATTTCACAGAACTCATGGGCTGTCAGAGAAATGGCTCACACAGTTGTGGAGGCTGGCGAGCTTCAAAACTGCAGTTTAGATAACAGTCTGGAAGATTCTCTGCAGTCACACAGAATCTGGCTGTTGGTGTTGGCTCACAAAACTGTGGAAGTGGGTAAGTCATGTCAGGCTGCTGGCTCAAGTACCAAAAACAGAGGTCAGACAGAGATGAGCTTGTTAGTCAAGCAAAGGAGCACCCAACCCACTCACATCATCAAGATGGCTCATTTTATACCCAGCAGGATGGCAAAACCGACCAAGCCCTGTTAGATTTCCAAGTTTTTACAATCACAACTGTTAAAAATCACCCACAACCGAATCATATAATCCTATCAGCATCTTCCTATACCTTCTCTTACCTAGACCCATCAAGAAAAAGTTGCTTGTTGGGAGTTGCAAAGATATGGCTGTTGTGTGCTATCAAGTTTGTTATGACACACTGTTGTTTGTTGATGTTGTGAACTGCTATCGAGTCAGGTGACTCATAGCGACCTTGTATAGGATTTCCGAGGATCAGCTGGTGAGTTTGAACTGCCAACTTTGTGGTTCGCAGTCCAGTGCTGATCCTACAGTTTCACACTCAATGTAATGCCATGTGATATTAATGATATTGTTAGGTAATCTCCATAGTCTGTTGCTCTACCTTTCTTCGCAATGGGCACAAATATGGATCTCTTCCAGCTAGTTGGACAAGTAGCTGTCTTCCAAATTTCTTGGCATAGATAAGTGAGTACCTTCAGTGCTACATCAGGTTGTTGAAAGATCTCAATTATATTCTGTCAATTCCTGGAGTTTTGTCTTTTGTCCATGCCTTCAGGGCAGCTTGGACTTCTTTCTTCAATATCAGAGGTTCTTGATCATATGCTACATCTTTGAAATGGTTTACGATTTCTTTTGACAATTTCTGCATTATTTAATATCTTGCCCATTTGTTGTTGTTGTTAAGTGCCGTCGAGTCAATTCTGACCCATAGTGACCCTGTATAGGGTTTCCAAGGAGCAGCTGGTGAGCTTGAACCGCCGACCTTGCAGTTCAAATGGCTTTGCAGTCTGGCGCATTAACCCACAGTGCCACACCAGGACTCCATCTTGCCCATAGAAGCCTTAAATACTGTAACTCAAGGCTTTAATTTCTTCTTCACTTTTCTTGGTTTGAGAAATGCTGAGTGTGTTCTTCCCTTCTGTTTTTTTTTAAAAAAACTCCAGGTCTTGGCACACTTCAGTATAATACTTTACTTTGTCATCTCAAGCTGCCCTTTGAAATTTTCTGTTCAGTTCTTTTACTTCTTCATCATTTCTTCCAGTCACTTAAGTTTCTCATATTCTAGAGCAAGTTTGAGTCTCTTCTGACATCCATTTCCGTCTTTACCGATAATTACTATTTAAAGAAGTGCTGTTGAAATTTGTCACTGCATGTCTATAATTTGGAATGTAGAGTTAAAAAGTTAAAAAAGAAAAAGAAAAAAAAAGTTAAAAAAGAAAAAAGATATTGACATGACAAATTCAGCATCTCTGCCATGATAAAAAAAAAAAAAAAAAAAAAATTGGTCTCTAATTGTTGTTAAGTGCCGTTGAGTCAGTTCCAACCCATAGTGGCCCTGTATAGGGTTTCCTCGGAGTAGCTGGTGAGCTTGAACCACAGACCTTTACAATTCAAATCAACTCTGCAGTCCAGTGCATTAACCCACAGTGCCACACCAGGACTCAATTGTTGTTGTTGTTGTTGTTAGGTGCCATCGAGTCACTACCTAGCGACCCTGTGCACAACAGAACGAAATACTGCCCGATCCTGGGGCAACCTCACTATTGTTGCCACACTTGAGCCAATTGATGCTGCCACTGTGCCAATCCATCTCACTGGGCATCTTCGTCTTTTTCTCTGACCCTCTACCCTACCAAACATGGTATCTTTCTCCAGTGACTAGTCTCAAATACTGGGAAAAGGTGGGGAAAGCTC